ATACAGCATCACAACTGTATGGACTGTTATATTTATCTGTTGTAAATTGAGTTTGCTCCACAAAAAAATTATTGTATATCATGTTACATGATCATGAAAAATGTGTTATCAATGTATGTCATAAAGAGAACAGCTGAGTTGTATTTCATGGAGAAAAAAGTATTCAAACCTCAGTTAGCAGTTAGAAGATTACAGCAAATGCAGGATGTATTACCCTTTATCCATTTATGTCAGTGCAGTTGCTACTGATTTACACCTTCCTATGCTGTCTTGTTCTGATAAGGGGTACTGTTTTGTGTGATAGTACACTTTGATTGAGAGAATTTGTGTTACCACTTATTGTGAGTCCCTGTGGAACAATACAAGGACCCATCCCCGACCTTATACTATATAAACCTCTTATTTTGCCTTTGATTTTAAGTGGAATTCAGTAAATTCTAGTGAGTGTATTACAATCCTTTGTAGAATAGAGGAGCATATAATGTGACAGCTACAATCTATAGTAGAATTAGCATAGCAAGGTAAATACATTGTATTTTTTTTTGTATTTCAAAATATTAACTATATGTTTTCTTGTGTTATTGACAGATTTTAGACTTTCAAGTAGAACCATGAAGAGGATGGATAGAATGTAGTTTTATCCAAGTTTACAATAAACAGCAAATGTCTGACTTGTTCGCCTCATCTGACCCCCAAATTTAGCAACTGATTCAGCACCTCCCCCCAAAAAATTGACTCCATATTTAAAAATTGATATTAATACTTGGAATGCAGATTACAAGTTTTGTGTCATAAGTTTTCAGACATGGCCATGAGTTTAGTTGTGCTCTGAGAATTTTGTAATTACATGGTCAAGTTCTAAAGTCACAAGATTAACAAAGAATATTGTGGCTATACAGCTAGACCATGAAGTCACAAACTGAGTGAGTATAGTGACTATGGAGCCAGGTACATATGGTGCAAAAGTTAGTGTAAGTTCAAGACTGTGGAGCCAGGACCTGAAGTCACAAAACTGACTGGGCACAGTGACTATGGGGTTAGGTTCTGAAGTCTCAAATCTTATTGAGAATTTCATGTCTATGAGGACATGGCCAGAAGTTGAAAAGACTTAGAGAATTTTATGACTACCAAACCATTTACTGACTGAAAATTTCAGGACTAATGGGCCAGGTCAAGAAGTCACAAAACTTACTGAAGATAGTGACTGTGGAGTCAGGTTCTCAAGTCACAAAACTGATTAAGCTTAGTGACTACAGATCCTGGTCAGTCACAAAACTTGACTGAATATAGTAACTGTAGGACCAAGTCCTGAATTAAAAAAATAAGACTGAGCACATGAGCTGTATTCAGATTCAAAACTCTAAAAGTACAACTCAGACTAATTAAGAGTTGCAGAAATTCAACATTTATCTATAGATAGTAACAATAAGATAATGCCAGCATGTTTATTCAGACCTCATTGCAAGTGAAGCTTTAGTTGGTCCGAGTTTTGAAATTAAAGATTGTATTCACTTTTTGTGTTCAGAAAGGTTTCATGACTATGGAACACAATTTATGTTGACTATGTTGTCAGGTCTTTATTGACTATGTTGTCAGGTCTTTGTTGACTGCTCGGTCTTGTTTATGTAGATTAAAGGATATTGTCTATGTTGATTACATGGTCTTCTGTGTTGCCTATGGGCCTGAGTTGACTTCAAGGCCCGGTATCTGATCTTTTGAATCGTAAAAATTAATAGAAAATGTGATGGAGGATTTGGATATAATTAGTTTGCATTGGGGTAAATTTTAGATAAACAACTAGTTATTTGTTATATGTTTTATAGACTTCATTATGACAGAACAGGGACTGTAATACTGCTCATCGTGAAATAGCACTTTATTAGTGAAGAGTTATTTAGGACCATTATTAATGTAAAATTTTCCAACATGTATGTATATGTCAGTTAAAAATTACAGCATTTATTTACCAAAGTTGAAGATCTTAGATTTTCAAGTGTCTTTTTTTTGTTCTGAATCAAGGTTAAAGTCTTTAATAAAATTTAAAATAAAGAATAAAAGAGAGTGAATGAGATGAAGAAACTACTAAAAGTTCCCTAATGTTTTTTTTTTAACAGATGTCAAAAAAAGGTAAATATATTCTGAATATTTAGATGTAACTTGCAGAAGCTATAGTTGCTTTGTTGGTATAGCTTTAGATTTGTAATCCAATTGTCATGGGTTCAACTCAGTTGTAACAGTGCCCTTTGGGGAGGCACTTAATTCCTTGGCATGATATAGCTAGTATTCTGTTAAATGTTTATTTAACCATCAATAACGTGCATGTAATTTGCAGAGCTCAGTTTTATGAGTTCAGTTTTATTTCTGTTATATACATATAGCAAAATTACAAACATTTTTTAATTATAGTTGATAAATATCACATTATTTATTTGTTCGTGTGTGGAAAAAGTTGAGTCCATAATGTTTGGCATTTTTTTGTATGCAAAAATAAATTCTGTGTGGATTATTGAATGGAAAATAATGAGCACAGTTTGGTTTGTTGTGTGGAAAGTGAGTGCAGTATTGTGTATTGTATGAAAAATAAAATTTGAATCAAATAAAGAAATTGTACTAGAGAATGTTCTGTTATTAGTTTGGAATGGAAATAGAATGATAGAAAGAAGAGAGTATTAAATAAAACTCTGGTAGACAATGAGTGATGACTAAAGTTTAATTGGAGAAAGGTCTACAGCAGAAAATTATTTAGTACAGACACATCAGATAATTTAAATACCAAATATCCTTATAAGTTGAGTCCTTTCCAAAATAAAGGAAGATTACAGGGTTCATGTCCGATAACCTCCACCTCTTTCAAGGAACCCCATTTGGTTCCATTGTCCCAACTTTTATCTCTATGGGAAGAAGTGTTCCTCCTTTTAATGAAGTGCATAGTGGAGTGAGTGATGAAAATCCAAAATCCGAGATTTTATTCCTGGATGTAGTTTAAAGAAAAAGGGGAAAGTTTTGACTCCATGTCAATCTTTCCACTCAGAACAAATTTACTCTGAAAGAGCATTCAAGACAAAGATATTAACCTGTCATTAGAATTATTTCTTTATTAGTTGATAATGACAGTTTGTAAATTCTTGTATTAGTGTTTTGTAATTAAGAGTTTTATATTTAGCAATGAACAGGTGTAGAGATTACTTGATATTTATTTAATGAAAGGTAAATTATGCCAACTCTTGCAAAGGGTAGATTTTATAATAAATACCTGTTTGTTTGTTGAATGGTCTATTTTATCTGACATATTATTACAGATGAGTCTTCCAAATTCTTATTAGTATTGTCATCCATAATGTTGTGTCTGTCAGCTAATGAATTATTACTGGCGAGTCTTCTAGTTACTTCTGGTAACTTTCCTGCATCAAAATTGAAACATTTTTGTACCATATATTTTATGAACAAAATCAACGCATGTTGCAATTAGGCTTTTGCAACCAAATGCATAGCTTAGTCAAACTTGTAAATGTGTAATATATTTTAATTCTCTTTTCATATTAATCAAACAATTGATTTCTGAAACATTTTTTAAAAAAATTATTATACTGTGCCATGAACAAGGTCGTACAACTCTTTAGTCTTAAACTAAGTAACAGAAAATTCAAAACCAAAAAGTTCTGTAAAAATCAACAAATAATTTATTTATCTAAGTTATAAAATGAAAATTTAAGTGGAACTTTGAGTATGATAATTTAAAACCTAAATAATCCTAAACATTCTATAACGAATCCAAAAGTAGTGTTCTGAATGAATTTCAAGAAGTGTGAAGGTACTGATGTACTAATAATTGTGATATATAGCAATAATATTATCCAGATTGTCTTTGGTTAAATTCACAACAATCTTCAACAGGAGCCCTGAGTGGCTGAGTGGTCTAAAGAGCTGTCTGTTACGGATTACTGCCATATCAACTCTGCGTGAGTTCGAGTCTATGATTTGGTGAATGAGGCTATGTGAAAAAGCTTGCCAGTAGCTTCTCGTTGGTCGGTGGTTCTTTCCACGGATTACCCGGTTTCTTCTTCCACCATTAATACTGGCCGCCATGTATAGCCTATCGTGTGCTGAAAAATGGCATTAAGCAACAGAACAACAAGTTTTGTATATGGTCAAAAGGCCATGTCAGCATGTTAATAAATATTAAAGTATAATCCACTTCCATGGACAAAAGTTAGCTATCCAAATATTTTTTCAAAATGATCATTAGCTTAAAGTACAACATACAGTTATGGATACAGATTAAGAATATTAATATTAATAAATAATTATTATTAATATACATAAAGTATATTCAGACTCCTTTACACATTTTTTATTTGCACTTGGCCATTTAAATTTAACAAAAAACATTGAGTCTGATTCAAACATGTTATACTTTAATTTGTTAGTCTGTTAGTACTTTTCAAGGGTGATGTTGGACGATAATATTTCTTCTGTTTTTTTTTTCTGAATTATATTGATAAGGATTGTATAGAATCCACTATACTCTTTTCAACCATTTGACTTGTTCATGTTTCTTTTATTCTTATTTCATATTTAGCCATGTCATTCTTTATCAATGATTGTGTTCAACTGGGTTGCTGGACATGGGTAAGGTGGACAATTTGCTTTTTTTTTTCTAAACCAGAATATCACTCATATATTTACACAGAGAAGTTTCTTATTTGTATGGATTGCCTGCATAGTTTATAGGATTAAAAAATAAAATGTTGGGTATAGATACTGACATTGAAAAATCATATTTTTAAGTGGGAGAGGGACAGGACACCAGGACTGCAGTTTGTTATGCTTTGCAGGCTGGTGGCTTTGTTATTCTAAAACTAATTTAACGGTTGATAGATCAGGACCTAAAGCAGTGGTCCTTAATTTTAAAGGCTTGTCATTAGCTCAGGACTTAGACTACAGGTGAAGTGTCTGAGGAGTTGTTGAATTTGATGTCATTGGTCCAGCTTTTTTATAACTGCTCTGGTAGTCTAGTGGTTAGAGCATCCACCTTAGATGCAGGAGGTCATGGGTTCGAACCCTGGCTGAGTCATATCAAAGACTTACAAAAATGGTACCAACAGCTGCCTCACAAACTTATATTTTGTGTGCCACAATTTGCGCATTTACCTGTAAGTGCGGGCGTGCTATTACTCTACGCTGTCATAAATTTTGTACCAGTGACTGTCTTCCATCAATCACAATATAAACAAATGATTATAAATAATATTATATCTGTACAATATAAACGTGTTTGACGTTTCAGCGTCATGTGAGCAAGCACTGCCAAAGAACCCACATAATAGCGACGTCACCGGTACTCCAAAATATTGAGATAGTAAAAAAATAATTAGCGACCAAAAATGTTCTTTTCTTTTATATTTTATTTCATCATTGGAAGAGAGAGGTCTCAAGAGTCTCTAACGCAAATACAAACTAACAGTCAATTATTTACCACGTGTATCCAATAAATTACCATTTTCGTCCGTTAGACGAAAACGTATTCGTGATAGCGATTAAATTATGACATCGTAAATAAAACAGGATTAACAGACACAACCAAATAACAAGGTGGGACATCGGGAGAAAAACTTTAAAGAACATTTCCCTGCTGGGCCTGCCCTTGTAATGCTTTACCTGACGAGGTATACCTACCGTCGACTGCGTCACAGACCAGATTTTCTGAAATTTTTAATGTGATATTGACAATATCCTGCTACACAAGACGACCAGCGCTTGTTGGATTGTTATTGTGTCGGAGACTATCTGGAGAGTCTTTCAATTTCTTCCATACTGCAATAATCTTCAGAAGATATTCGTCAGCTATATCATTGATAGGCTGCGTTATCGTATTATAATCAAGCGCGGAGTGTTTAAATGCATCAGTATTGTCCATTTCAGTGATCTTAAAACGATATTAAAATAATTTTTGTTGAGCTTTATCCTTTTCAAGTATTTCCGCCTTATAAATAAGAAATGCTAAATGTAAAGCATCGTGACACAGACCTCCTATTTGACTCATTTTAATATCGATACTTGAACTAACAAAATAATTCGGATATTCAAAATGTATATTTATGTCTCAAACTTTTTCTTAGTTCTCGCTGTTCTCTTTCGCTCAACCTCTTGATCTCGCTTGTTATTTTATATCCTTGAAGAAGTTTATTATCCAGACGTTGAAAATTATTGAGTAGATCATCATGCCAAGTAATTAACCAGATATGAGGTCGGTCTACCGTTGAATACAAGACAGATCGTTGTGGTCGTGGTGGTCTAGCATAAATCGGCGCTTTAAACGGCCATCCCAGCACAGTTCTGATCGACGATTTGTGTATATCAACGGCGTAATATGGATGGCGGTAATCAGTACGTGCTGATCCTGTGATCCTTTTGTTGATTTGATACTAGGTTGAAGTTCATCATTGATTTCTTCTATTTGATATGATCCTTTTGGGATGGTAACGACTGGGGTTTGCCGACCAGCTGCATCAGCTGAGTTTTAAGGCGAGAATACCAGTGAATTATCTGCGTCTAATCTTCCAAATGATTTTTATCTGATATTTGTCTAAAGCCGTAATTATGCCAGTGCAATTTCTAGTGACCGACCAGTTGGATCTCTTATCGGAGATGGAAAACTAAGATCAAATTCTGGTTTTGTTGATGTTGCACATATCATTGTGGTTGTAGCCGGTGTTGTGATCGCGATGGTCTGTTCCAGTAATTTGGTTTTTTCTTCTGTCCCTATTATCTATACTGAGGATTCTAAATGTGGCGCTGGCAACGTTGACAACATTTTTGCCGGCATCGGTGTGTTGGCGTTCTGGAGATAACGATAATAAAATATCCCTAATTGTAGCAAATTTATTGTCTGATATTGCACTGTCGTTTAAGCTCGCTAACAGCATCGATGATATATAACAGCATCGATGATATATTTATTCACGCATAAGTAGCATAGTATATTATTTCCGTGTGCTCATGCAATATTTTACTGGCACATGTAGATATTTTTTCGCTGTAACATTGAGTCTGTCAGTAACACCGTCAACAACAGCGACGACGATTCCAACCACAGGCGGTATCACTGACGTCGCTGATAATGTACCAGTTATTATCGTTGTTTCAGTGACCAGCGAGGAAACCTCGTATACAACATCGTCGATGACCATTATTAATTTGCGATATTTTTGTGTTTTGTAATATCGTCGATGATTTATGACCGTGATGACTTTTACGCACATGCTTGATTATACAGAACGGATTGTGCGGAAATTATTATGGTGTATATACCAAGTTACTAACTGTTAAATTCTTTCGAGAAGAATTCCAAAACCACCAATAATTTGTTGAGCTTAGGTTTTCTTCTGGAACCAATTTTAATGTTTTGCATACATTTTCATATAATAATATATCGATGGAAGGACGAAAATGAGTTTCTACGAAGCTAAACACAGAGAGCTCTACATCCTGGTAATCTAAGAAGTATATTTGAGTAATTTGTTTTCCAGTGACCATGTTCCTAATTCAGACGGTACTGTTTATACCATGTTGAGAAGTTGAATAGTATGAATTACGCCATCTGCAATCTTTTTCATTTTTTTTTTCGAGCTCAGTGTTTAACGAAATGATTCTTGAGCTGATGTTGATGAGTTAATAATTCATAATTTCGATTGTTGTTTTAACGTTGAATAGATCAATAAGTTGTATATTAATTTCATTGGGGTTTTTGCTGATTATCGTTTGATTTCCAAAGAAATTAGTTAGGGTTCTATTTATGTTTCTAGGAATATTTGTAAACGCGGTTACATGATTTGCATATTCAAATCTGATGGTAGTCATTCCATCATTGATGGTCATTAACGAGGTCACTGTTTGATTCTGTTTCTCTCAAATAATCAAGGGTATTTCCTCTCATGTGGAAATCGCCGGTTTTTTGCAACATAGCTTCTGGTCTCAGTTCTGATCGTGGTGTTGTTGAACTCGCAAGATAATATATGTCAATGGGATGTTGCTCGTATTTAACCTTCTGTGTTCATCCTGAAAAAAAAATTATTTTGGTCAACATCTGCGAGACACAAAAGATTAGTGAGTTCATTTAGTGTTGCGTATTTAGATAAACCAATGTCACACAGGGGCTTGCCTTTAGCAGATCTTCCGTAAATATCTATCATTATATACCATTAGGCTGTTAAAAATGATGTGCGGTATACTCAAGCACAACTTTATGCAGTGGCAGACCACAGTCGGTGGTGGGCCATAATGACCTTGACATGACGTTAAGTACAAGTACTCCTGGACCGCATATTGGTGGATCCGTTATCGTCAGTGTTGGTAAAGTTAAATACCAGATTGGTATGTTACCGGCTAAGCCGCTATATCGTAAATGTTCTTTTAGTGGCGCCAATCCATACGAATTGAAATAAACAACTCCACATGGATCAACCGCTTATGCAACTCAGTGAGTACCACGGCGAGAACTTGCATCAAAATTAACGATACCTGTTTGAAAACCGTTTGGTTTGTCCGGCAATTGATCGCGCATGAAAACACCTCTGAAGTTTTTTTTATGTTTAATCTCCGTGCATCATCAAGTATATCAAAATTAGACATGGGGAGTTTTAATGAAACGTCCCCAGCAGCCTTAGACCTTGTCCATGCCGCGTTCCTGGTAATCGTAGATTGCATTCATTTTCTTTGGAGGAGTTTATGCTGTGCTCAAACGGCATCAAGTACAATTGCTTTTTCATCAGCTTCAGCAGCTGTTTTTGTTGTGTCGCTGATTCGCCAGTCCTTGTTTTCTTGGTGTCATTGTAGTGTCTGAATTGATGTTCACTAAACGATAATTTATTTGGACCCTGCAACGCTGCTCATTTCAGAGGGTTTTTTTTCCCCCCAGAATTCTTCTTCGATGCGGATTGAAGATGTTTAATCTGACTGGGTGTCAGAGTAACATTGACGTGATGATATGCCATTATAACATCATGATTGATCTAATTTCATGTCCGGAAAACATTCACATGTTTTCTATGGGACAATCAATGACTCATTCGTCTAGTAGCATCATTAAGCATCATTGTTTTATCTTACAATATAACAGCAATTGCTCTGTAACGTGTGCGTCAATAACTGAAAAAAAAATAAATTGGATATAACGTCGAAAAATCCCGATGAGCTATTTGCAGGCCAGAGTCGACATTCTGATCACACCCCATAAATCTCATCAAACTATGATACGCCCGTGAAGCGTTGTTTTGGTCAAAATTAGTTTTTGATCGTTATACCTGGTGGCACGTTGAAATGCCACGAAAATATGTCATAGTGCTGATATTCAATGCTGTGATGTGATTTGCCATGAAAATCTTCCTGCTGTGCCTGGATCAGTGTCTGTGGTAATTGTCTGCCACAATAGTGTTGACTTGCCGCCGTCATTCGTGACCGACAAAAATCGTTGTTCTTCATCGAACAGTGGAGTCATCGTTGGCATCCACAATGCTAGTTTTGTTAGCATTACTTTTCCAGCACTATTCTCACCAATCTCTACGCATCATATATCGTCGTTGTCTGTGGTTGTTTGAATCAGTGTAACTATATGTTTTGCTTCGAAAGTATTTTTTAACATGTCTACAAAATCCCAAGATATGTGATAAAGGTATTAGACATGAAAATTCACCATCTGAGTTAACCTAATATCACTGATCTCAAATCTCATGTTGAATTCTGGATTGACACTCTGTTGCGTGAAAAATCAGATGCTGGTCGAGCTAATTATTGCTCAACGGCGCGGTCAACTCTAAGTGTACCATGAGATGCTAAATAACGTCGGTTTGGTCAGTAATGTCCTTCGCGAACATCATGGATGGACCTAGGGACCATGAATAGTCATCGCTGTATCTTGCAAGATGATTACTAGTCGTAGAAAGGTCAACGTTATGGAGGCATACTTCGATTTTTCTACCATCAATTATATGTTTGGCATTGTTAAACAGCGACATAACCATTGATAACGAATCCACATCGTTAATTTTTCACAAAGTTTACCATGGACTTCAATAA